ATGAAAATCAAGGTTATGTATTAATCGTTTATGATCTCATTGTTATCCTTGCGCTTTAAATAATTTTGCTTAATTTGTGCTTATTTAATTATGAAAAACGGTAAAGTTCTGAGGCAGTTTTTTTTTTATCAAAATAGTTTTTTTTTAGTAAAGTTGGTTAATTATCTAAATGCTTAAAGGAATCTAATTGTTAGCAAAAAAATTTTGATCTTCCTTAAATTATCTATTATTTATGAAGTTTCATTTATATTTTATAAAAAACATCATAAAAATTGAACTCTTTTAACAGTTACTTTGTTAACAAAGACAGTAAAAGTGGTACGTGTGAGAACTTTTCATTGTTACTAAGAAATTATACAATTTATTGCTAATAATTGATTTATTCATAATAAATCTTCACTTGAACACTGCGATGGAGGTGTGCTTATTTAAGGCGCACAAAATTCAGAGTTAAGATAATAGAATATTAATGTATTTGAGTTTTTTTTGTTTTCATGCATATTTAAAGTTCTCCACTAAGTTAGTATTCTACCTTAGCAACTCAACGTCTATGTCTGTTTCGGTTTAATGGCTGTAGATACATGCATACATATATGACTTTAATTCACTACAAACATTTTATTGTTTGTTATATTGATTATAGACAGGACGATTTTACTTTGAGAGAGTCATCTATCTACTCCCTCTTCTTAGACATCGTTGTTCTTTACTATTATCTTCAAATCTGTATGCCACGGTAAAAAGCATTATATCAGTTGCCTACTTACATGATATCCTAGTGAATAAGTCATATAAAAAACATCACAGAGTTACCCGAAAGAAAGTGACAAAGCGGGATCTCAAACCCACACCCTCCAGATAATAAGCAAGCGCTACATCATCTTTGACACTAAGAACTTCTAACACTGCGTGCTATTTACTGTGAACTTAAGAAATATCTATAGCCAATATCACAATGTTTAATTATAAGTACACACCAATTCCAATTGTACACAGAAAAAATTTTGCTTGTAGCTCACTTAATGATAAGACCACATTTCGTAAAGGCTGAGCCAGAAAAAATTTGTGAAATGAGTTTGAGCATTTTTAGATACACAGGTCTCGTTTACATTGTTTTAACTTATTTCTGGCCGATATTTATTGATAAAGCTGTAAAATGTTAATAAAAAAACTTAGTCAGAACACAATATCACTAAACACAGTAAAATTACCTCATCGTGCTCCCACGAAATTTTCTTGATCACCTGTGCATCTAGTTGTTTTATACATCTGATCACGTTCCCAGTACCTTTCCGCAGCTTACCGGTGAACTTAGGGGCAAGTCTGTGACGCGATAGGCGCTCAACCAGAAGTGCATGAGTATTCAGGGCCGTGGTCAAAATCCCACGAAAATGACTTGGCAATTGGTTAAGGTTCGTCTCAGAATTAATGCCAATGGTAGACAGTCCCAACAAGACCTCGGCAAAAAATCTGGTAATGGAGAAACACTTAAAGTCGTGGATTTGCGGAAGGACTAGCACCAACGGTACTACAAGCGTATAATCAATACAGAGAAAACCATGCCTGTTTATACACGGGGAATCATACAAAACTATACAGAGAACCTTTTCACTAGAATCAACAGTGATAACATCGATGAATGTGTCAGAAGAAGGGCGATGATGCATTGCAACGGTAGGCAGAAAGTCTAATGAATTTTTGGATGTTGGATGCTGTAACTGCCTTGCATAACGATGATTGGCAAGAATATTAAAATTTCAGACACTCACAATCACAGGGTCCAAAAATTGCCCCAGAACTTGCTGTGACAGCACTTAAAAATTCAATAAGGACCTCATTCATAAGACACCTGCATACTGATGCAAAAAGCATACGCCCCCCTTACCAAAATAGAGGTCCAATAACAAGTACTCAGTTTTGTTTAAGCAAAATATCTGTGGTATTGCCAGTAATCTGAAAGGAAGATCCCGCTGCACGTAACAGATTATGCTGCAACCCTACATGTACTCACGTCTCCTACCCATTGCCCTGAAACTCCTATCATTCACACGACACCTAAAAATGGAATACGAGAAAACGATACAATAATTATAGCAGTTATAGCAAACACTGGAAAATAAATACATAATGAATGAGGCACGAATAAATAAGACAAATAAGGAGACTAGATTTATATTAATACACACGTTAGATAATGAGCCATTAGATATCGGGCTTTGAGTAGGTCAGATACCTTCAACTCTTAGCAAAAACAGCTCAGCACTTAAGTGCTTGTACTATTGCTAATAACGCCAAAACATAGCATGTTACTATGGCACATGATACACTATCATGTTGCTATTTTACGGAAATGAATGCGCCTCTCTCTATACTAACTGTCTCAACATAACACTCAAGATGAAGCACACTTAAGCAGTAAAGCTAAAGATCTAAAGCTTGTTTCTAAGCTTTATAAACAAAGTTGTCAAGCTTCCAGAACACCAAGTTGCCAGGTGAGAGGGCCCTGGTTAGCTAACCTATAACAAAACTATAACGGAGGTATCAGCTATACCATAAGTAGTAAATAGGGAAACGTTAAAAAAATTTCATATGAAAAATCAATTTTCGATAAAGAGTTATAAATTATACACTGAAGGGGGACCACTTAATTTCTCAGCTCATTAATTGAAAGTTCTGACCCGAATAAGAATTCTGATCCTACAGCCACAAAAGATAGTAATAAATGTTAACTTTTTAGTGCTTTTATTAACTTTTTATGATGGCAATATAAAATATTAGGAAAAAATACAGAATTTTTAATGTATTCTTTTTTTTTAGGAAACTACCATAGCTACTAATTTAAACATCTCGAAAATAGAATATGACACAAATAATTAAAACACTAAGTCAATCTCAAGAATATCTAAAAACTATGGAGGAAATAAAGTTTACATTCAAAAACGTTCGTATTTAAAGAAAAAAAATCAGAACCTTCTACTCCTTACACATTATTACTTAATTTAGAAAATCAATGACTGTAGTATGCTTCCTTTACTACTTATAGTCTGTACATCTAAAATTATCCAACCCAAAATTATCTAACCCAAGGGCTACAACCAGGTCAGACATCCAAGCAGCTGAGAGAGACTTTTCAAGCAACAACTTCTGTAACAGCCATCGTCAGGGACAACCACGCCAAGCAACCAGTCTTCCCCCAAGATACCGGAATAACTTTTATAGTGGCATCTGCTAGTGACTTTAAGGAATATGGAGAAGACCTAACGCTGTCTATCAGCAATTTCATTGTGCTGTCTCTCTCTACGGCCTATGCCGCTGAGGTAATTCTCTCTAACCAACACTAGTCCTCCAAGAGTTCAATGGCAAAGCCAAACGAAACTTGGACCACCATCTTGGCGTGAAGATTGAGGAACCCAGACGGATATCAGTACAGTTACGCGTGCTAAGGTAAGTAGCCAGACTGACATTGCAAGTTTACTAGGATAGAAGAAGACCATGCAGAAATCCGCTAAATAAAAAGCTGCTGACTCCCAATGGATTACCCAAGCTCGTCTCCACGACGACCCTACAGTCTAGAAATCAGCGAGGCCAGCCAAGCTTCCTCCAAAGCCCCGAATCATCTCGGACATCACAATCCCATCAGCGTCGAGTTCATCAAACTAATTTTGGACCCCATTGCTAAGGAGAAAGTGTAACACCATCCAGTCACTCATCAACGAGCTGGACCCATCCACGACTGACAACTACCAATCATCAGACGAAGCGGAACATGACGCCTTCCCCGAGGATTCACCCAGCAGTCAAGCTAAGGAATCCATCTCTGCCCACCTTGCACAACTGGCTATGTCAACAGAGACTACGGATGAAAAGTCACTTTCCGTAGAACAACCACATTTCAGTGTCTTAGAGGGAGGTCCTGACAACATAAAGCCACCCTTCATAACCTCCTCTCTCTAGAGCGGTTCAGAGGGGCGATCGTCTAATAAGTTTCAGGATTCGCTTTTCCGAGCTAAAAGTAAAACTGAATGAAAATTCGTTGATCTTGCTTTTCAGTCTTTTTTAGCAATCAAGAAATCTGCCAAACTTAAAAATAGCTTTATAAACAAAGACGCACTGCGCATGAACTATGCATCTGAAAGGTATCAACGAGCAAGCACTGAAGTTCGTAAGGCTTTACTGTTTACATTTGTACACCACAAAAGTTACTTAAGCACTACGGTATGGAAGTATAGAGGTAGGCCTAATACTTTCCAGACAGCTTTCGTACCCGTAAACATAACTAAGACAACTCAATTTTAAGCTAATTTACTGTTTAATCTTAAATTCTCATTATATTTATATTTTTCAATACACTTGTACACGAAATTTTTTTAGAGTCTAGTGAAAAATTTTGTAACTTAAAAAAAAAAAAAAAAAAAAACTTAATTGAATAGAAGCATCTTTTACTAATGATTTAAAGACAAACTTAGTTATTTCGATTAAGTGTTTAAATAAAAAAACAAACCTCACAAAAGAAGTAACTCATTTCCCTAAAATATAATTCCTTAACATAATTTTTAGTGCAAAAAAAGATTTAGGAGTATCAAATAATTTTATTTGAAAGTGTGATTTCAAATTTTTTTATAAGAACATACAAGTGTCTTACATATTACACTAGTTAACAACTAATCTAAAAATTAAATAACGTTTTTTTCTTAAATTGCGCTACAATTGTACTTTAGTTTTTTTATAATCACTTAACTTATAATTTAACATACATATGTGGGTATACAAGCATTTACTTAACATTAAGTATACACATTTATATAAACATTTAATACACGCTTACGCAATATACGTACATCAGTATATACATATAAGAATACATGCGTTCTCATTTAACTATACATTCTTATAAACATTCATGCAAATATGTATACAGACTCATATACTTACATACATGACACAAAGTAAGACACGTATGACAACCACTCATACCATAATAGATTTTTTCAACATCTTAGCTATCCCCATTTGGCTGCAATCGAATAAATCGATCTTAGTAGTTCAAGAGCTCTTTTTTCAGAAGCACCTCTTTTTTCTAAAATTGAATACTGTTTATCATCCACAGTTGTTCCATCAAGCTTATTGATTCCATTATACAACAAAGATATTTTTGGCGTAGTAAACCTTGATATGAAAGGTAATGATGATAGCTTACCAGGCATTAAATGACTTCTGATATCTACCGATGGAGTATTTATTGACGTATAATTTGTACTAGTGTTTTCAAATTTTTTTTCGGATTCATTCTCTTTCTTTCCATGGATCGGAATCCTAAGTAAGGTTCTTAAAAGTTCTTGCTTTTGGTTATCTGACTTCTCGCTAATAGGCTCGTCGTTGTAACTTATTAGCAACAAGACAAGTTTTCTAACAGTAAAATTATTTTCTGCCTGTCTTATAACATCCATTAATGTATTTGTACTTGTCTCATTTAATGTGTCGAACATTTTTTTAGCTTTTTGGATGTCATCTTTACTCACATTGTTATTTCTTACAGTGGACATTGCATCACCATTCTTTCGATAAATCGTATGAGTCGTTGAAACAACAGGATTCTTTGTAACCTGCTTCACAGGCTTAAGAACATCATTTGGAACTGATGTGACTAAATTTTTTGTACTTACGTATAAGTCTGGTAATAAGGTAAGTAAAGTTGGTAAGTCACTTTCATTGTAAGTCCACTTTTTAATTAAACTATTTGTTGTTAGTGAACTGTTTGCTCTTTTTTGTTCAAAATTATGTTTCATTTTCAAATTTGTGCTTCCAGAATTAGAATTCAAAGTTTTTACAATATTTTCATCTATATCGAGACCACGGTTTATATGATCTGGATCTAAAAATAAATTAGTTTCCCATAAGTCAGTCACTTTAGGTGAATATGACCAATAATTACCATTGGCCAGAACACCATCTCTCTGTTCCAACACAGGCTGACTTATTTTTTGCTGATATTTTTCTTCAGTGTTTTTTTTTGGAGACGATAAATACTGAGTTGCATTTGATAATTCAAATTCTTTTATTATAGAAGAGGCCGTATCGTAATATCTTATTTTAAATGGTTTTACAGTTGGCAAAAAGTTTTGTTCCTCATTAGATATATTTTTATGCAGTGTGTTATTATTTGACTTTTCATGAGTCTTTTTGTCTCCTTCAACAACTTGTTGAAAACGTGATTGGAAAATTTCAGTAGGAATACGTGTTTCTAAATTTTCGAAAATACTAGTGACATGAGATGTTTTTTTTGCCTCATTATTTTTTAATGGAATTACTAATTCATAAGTTAATGGCTGTGACAATTTAACACTATCGTTACTAGATAGAAATTTATTAGATGTGTGAATATAATCTTGAGAAGGAGAATAAACAACTGAATTATTCTTAAAACCACTATAACTGTTATTTGGTTTATACGAAAAGTGTTTGGTTACTTTCGGACTACTAGAAACTTCTTCCAATGCAGTAGACAGTTCATAGTCAAAAATTTGACCCTTCTTTCTTGAACTATCAAGGACGTAGGTTTTATCAGTTGAGTCTTCCAAATTATCAAGATTTTTTTGTTTATTTCTATGCATTTCAGCTGCATCTGAATGTTCTTTAGAATATACATTTATACTTGTTAAATATTCAAATGTGTAGTATGGTTGATAAGTAGTTTCCTTTAATATATTTGTTGATTTTTTTGTAACTGTTTGTAAGTCTAAAGCCTTGAAGGTCTTTTTTCGTACTCTATTATTATCGTCTGAAAATTCCAAAACCTCGTCTCTCTCTTTTGTTACGGATGGATAATCCTCCGTGGTGAATAAAGTAACTGAAGATGTTTGATTATGCTTATTGAATGGTGGCTCTGTAGGTCTGATATTATTAAGTATTTTTCTAAATTCATCTGGATCCTTTAAGTAAGCTGATAGAGCTCGTGTAAACAAATGTGCAACCTCTCTTACTCGAGTACTGTTAGATTTTTTGAATGCATTTAAAGGTCCCTCACTCTGTTGAATATCTAAGTCATTTATTTCATCAGCACTTAAAGTTTCCTCACTATTATAATAACTATTATCATTAGTTATACTATTTTCAATAGCGTTATTTAAATTAAAAAGCTCTGCATATGAGGTAATTGTGTGCTGTGTTAGAATATTCATAGGAAGTTCAATGCCAGAAAAAATTTTTTTTTCTGTACTAGTGACATCACTGATCACTACAGTTGACATTTCTTGATCATACACGTCATTAGTATTGGCTACATACAGTGCTAGTGAATGTAATGTTAATGGCTCGGTTGATTTTGGATATTTTGGAGACGTTTGATTTACTTTAATATTATTTAAACCAAAATGCGATGAGAAATTATCGATATCTTGAAGAGATTGAAGCATGCTCCTTGCATGTTCTTTTTCGTTTAAGGGCCTGCTATTAATTTCTTTACTTTTATTACCATTTACTGCTTGACGAGCTTCAGGTAAGTAAGTTGATTTTTTACTTTTTTTTTCTAATTCTGATAACATGAAGTCACTAGATCCGGGATTGAGATCAATACTTTTAATATAATAACCTAGCGGTGTAGAACTAGATCTAGTAGTACTAGTTGTTGCATATCGATAACTCTTTGTAAATGGAACATAAGAGCTGGAGGTAGATATAATTTTTTGTGAATTGTTAAGAGACACTTTGTTTCCATGTTGTAGAAAATGATCTAATAAACTAGGATCTAAAGTTTGCACGTTATTTCTTACTTTCATATCACTTATCACAATACCACTGATACTATGATTATAATTTGGTAATTCGGTATTATCTGCAGAATTTTCTTGCAAGATCTTAGAACTTTCTTGTTGAGTTGTACTGGTAACAAGCTCTTCATGATTAATGTATAATTCTGTTGTGTCTCTGTTTTGTGTAGAAACATTTTCATGACTCAGATCATAGGAAATATTGTATTTTAATGGCCTAAATATTTTAAAATAAGCATTGCTGTAGTTTAAAGTGGATTCTGTTACGTCAGAATACGTTTTTTTTATTGCATCTAAAGTTGCGGTTTCTACATCAAATTCTTGTGAATAGGTAATCTGGCGAGTGTACGGACTTACTGTAAGCTTACTATAATCGAGAATTTTTTCTATATAATGTGTATTTTTAGTACGGTATGGACTGTCAGAATTAGCTGCTTGTGCATATGTAGCATGCTGGAAAGGAAGATAACTCTTATCGTCAGTACTGAGAAAAGAGGGCTTTTGCGACTTGTATCCATAGTGATCGTCTTTCTGTCTAGCATGCTGCGTATTATTGTCTGATACATGATCATTTAAGTATGTAAAATTCGTGGAAATTTTAGCACTTAAATTGAAGGTAGGTATTGGAGTATTCTCCAACAGCATTGTCGTTGGTAGCACAAGGCGTTCATCGCTTAAACTTAGTTTTTGATCTGTGGCTCCATTCTCAGTAGTTTGATAAGATTTTTGCATTTGTGTTATAATACTTTCTTCATTATGTATGAAGGCTGGATCATATAGTTGATTAAAATGATGTAATTTATTACTACTACCATGGCTAATAAATGATGAACTTTCAGCAAAGTGTTGAGTTTCAGGAGGACTTGTTGTGGAAGTACGAAATATAGTAATTTCTTTATAAATTGGTAGTGTTTTATTAATGACATTCCGGGTAGTTTCACTATGTACAAGTGAAGATACTGTTGTCAGTTTTGTGTATATTTTGTTCTCACGCTGAGCATTCAAATTTTCTGCTGATACATAGTCTTTATCTTCCTCTTGTAACTTTACTTGCTCTTTATATTTATAAATATCTTTCTGCCTGTAATTATGTACTTGAGTTGTTCTTCCATCAATAGAGGAAGTAGTTTTTTTTTTTTTAGTTAGCCTACTCTGAGTACCATCTGCAATTATTTCTTGAGCGATATTGTCCTCCCTTAAATTGATTTGGTTCTTCTGTTTCATCACTGGGATCTGGTGAATAGTATTTATGTTTGTAATCCGAGAATGCTTAGTACTGTGGTCTTTATTATTAAAGAAATTATTAGAAACTAAATGATTAAAAGGATTCATTCTACCATTTTGCCGTCCATCGTATTGAACTAGCTGTTTTTCAGTCGTATTACTATTACTATACTCATAACGGGCTCTATAAAATTCAGATTGTAATCTTTTTTTTTCAACACGCTTTCTTTCTTCTTCAGCTAAAAAATTAGCACTTTGATCATAATAATCTCTTGAGTTATCACAATCAACTTTGAACCACCAATCACAAATTAATTGAGATTGTTGGAAAATAGTACCGTTGGGGCACAGAAATGAGATTTTTTTTCCATTATTACATACGTGAAAAACCTGAAAATTATAAAACACATTAATTTACATAAGTGCATGGTTTCTAAGATCTTAATTATACATATATCACATAAATACATTTGTAATTTAATTGTTTAAAACTAGTCTTAGATGAAACAGGTAGACTGATATGTAAAAATAATGTTTTTTACGTCAGGAGAGTACATCAGTTTAGATGAGACATCATAGAATTATTAAAAAAATTTGTGTAGAAGTAAGCAAGGAAGGCTGTAAGACTGGTGCTGGAAAAATTATTATTATCAAACATTTTACATGAAATGAGTAACGAGGACATCTACCGTCTCATAAGTTTTACAAAATACTATAAGATGCCAAATTAAATCTGAGTTTCCGCAGTTTTATTAACTGACTGGGATTTTTAAATTTCGGATATCAGAAAAAAAGTATCCTTCGTAAGAGGGTATCTAATGCCTCTATTTCTATAACTTTTTTTATACTTTAAAATTAGAAAAAAAATTATATGTTAAGTAGTAAAGGGGCAATAGGGGGGGGGGGCTTTACCCAATGTCGATTGGGTTAAAATAAGGTGGAAATGAGAAAAATTTTTCTATATTACATATGGGAGTAGTTAAGGTTTTTTGGCATGCAGTAGGGGAGCAGTGAAGAGTTATGTGAAATCCCCTCCACATGAAAGCATGTAATGTAGGAAAATTTATATAGTTCTTATCGAAATTTTTTTTATCCTCCAGGAAGTCAATAAAACCGAGAAAATAAGTATATAAAATTGAATTTTAAATTGGCCCTAGTAGCTACAATGAAATTTTTTTTTTCTTAGCTAGAGAAGAAGCAAAGATGATCTCACTTATATATAAAGCAAAGTCCCAAAAACCGTTATAATCGCTTACCACGAGAACTACTCAATCAATTAAGCTGAAATTTTGCATACGGATTCTTAACGCTTTGTAGATGGTTTTTGTATAGTTTTATCTTGAAAAAATTATGAAAAGTATGAATAAATGAAGCTACCTGCAATGTAAGTGAGTCTGGTTATAATATCCAACAGAAAATTGTCGATTACCTTATCAGTACATCCAGAATAGAATCGTTAGACTTGCAGCTGGAAATCTTAGTTATCGACAACACTCTTCTCCAAAAGACAAGTGACTTACGTCATATTTCACCGTGAACCACGAAGTTTACTAAGTGCTACGAAAAAAGATGCGTTCTTAGCGCTTATGATCTGGTGCCACCAGAACATATTTCGCTACAATAGCAAGGCAGGGAAATCAATCCTTAGGAGTTTGGGCAATCACATTGGCTAGAAATCAGCCGCCTCCTTAATGGCTCATCGCAACAGCATATTGACAATAAAATATTTTCCAAGTCCACTCCCCAACTAACGATGAGCGGTTGGTTATCTGGGGAACGACTCTGAGGGTAACAGTCAAGCTACCCACAGCCAGTTTTTTATCAATGAAAATCATAATAAGGAATGATTTAAAGTATCACCACTGGCACTTTTTAGGGTGATCGTAAGTCTTAACCGTTACTTAATCACCATTAATCTCATCAGTTCTTCTTAGGGCCATCTAACGTTGAATTACTTTTCCAACAAATATATTTTTACAATAATTTCCGACAGCAATTCGCCTACCAAAAGACTATACAAACTTGGCTACTATTAAATCAAGTCAGTCATTTTCTAGCAGATGTTACAAGCAGAGCTATTCATCGTGAGGCTGGGAACCCTAGTCGCCGATGGCCCAGCATTGTACCCTTTAACCAGGAATCATTAATCCTCTCTGAGGTCTGCACTTAGTAAACCTAATAGTAAAGCTGTAAAGGAGAAACAAACTGGAGCAAACGGGATAATCCTTAAGAGGCAAAGACACGAATTTATATTAATCTTGGACCACTAAAACTACCAAATTACACAAAAAAAGAAGGTGCTTTGTACTCGAAAGTCTCCGGCATGTCACTAGGAGACATTAGAATGAAGCACTACAATTAGCTCCAATGCTTTAGAATATTGTGGTACTCTCTGTGACCAGCCTGGTGCTACAACAGTAGGCCTGAGATATTCTTAGGTATTGAAGAAATTACATTTGCTGGAAACTTTAGTTAAAAAAAAAGTTTAGTTCAACAGTCTTTTTTAGAACCATCAAACGTCAAACTATCTTGCCAACAAGGGCAATAAATGTATTACAACAACAAAGTTGGAAAAAACAGCAGATACATAACAAACGTCTTCGGCAATGCTTTGAGTTGCAAATGGCAAATTCGGAGGAAAACTTTAAATGATTTAAATGTATGCAGTAATAGGCATCAGGAAACTAATACAGAACGTTCATCGTGATTGGAACATCGGTTGAAAAATTGACAAATAACTAATCCATTAAGTGACAGTTTAGCATTTCATTATAATCTTAACATTGATAACTCAAATCTTTCAGCTATTAAAATAGGAGGAATAATATGTGTTTGTAATTATTGTAGCACTAAAGAATGAAGAAATGGGACTTGAGGACTCTGTTGCTCTGGCAGTAAAGTTTTATGATTAAAAAAAAGAGATTTAATTTCATGTTTTTTTAGTAGGGTTAAATCCTTACAGCTTTAATAAATAACTGTTTTTACAGATGCAAAAATTTTAACTAAAAACGTTTCACAGTACGGGTCAAAGCATAACAGTGTTCCGCTTAGTAAATGTTAGGGGGCCACTAGTGGTCACATATTTTTAAAGATTTTTTTTAGGAGCATGCTAGATAAAAAAAACAATTATTTCGCTCTGCAGCTATTTTTGGGTCATTGCAAATTATTTTGATTATCCTTTCCATTGTTTATAAATTTTTAACAATGTATTAGCTCTTATGAGTACTTTTTATAATTTTCAATGGTTTGCAAGATCAAAAATAATTCTTACGATTTTTTTGAGTGAAACATATATTAATATATTTTAATTTAATATTGTTGTTACTATTTCCGTGCTTATGAATATTTTTTGCCTTAGATTTTGTCAAGCTAAACAGCTTTGCCATCAATGCTGCCAGTACTTCTCAGATGGTTTCCCCTTCTCCTCTCCCTCAGCCGTTGCGCGCAGCGGTCGCATGGGCTCGTAGCGAGACGCGCAGTTTAGCTGAGTCAGTTTTGCAGCACCCGTGCTACCACTAACACCATTACGTCGTTATAAATCTGAATACCAAACCTACAGTGGCCTTGTAGAGAGGCCGTGTGGTTTTATATTGTATTAAATAAATAGAGTTAAAGAGTTAATACTTTCTTCTGTAAGTATTCATTTAACCTTATGCCCTGGCCTTTCATCCCATACTTCCGATAGGTTATGGGCCTAGGGCACGTGGGCCACTGCGCGAGTGTAATTTTCTGCCGTAATCAGAAAATCAAAGTGTTAAGAGTTTATCATGTTTTATAGAAACCAGAAGCAGAGTAAGAGAAATAGAGAGGCCGGCACAGAGACAGCGAGCAGCAACCAGACCACCGTCGGAGTGAGTGCACTACCTGCATATCATCGTCGTTTTTTAGAGGAGAGTGAGCAGCACTGGGGGAAGTGACGCCGTCTCCAAGGAAAGTTTCTCCGGAAGCGCGCCAAGTGGAGTACTCGTGTGAGTGCGTGTGTGTCTTTGTTCCTCTCTCTCTCTCTATTGTCCAGTGTAGTATATAGGTATGAGAGACTATGGTAATACTATTAACGAAGGTGTTTAGACGAGTGAGAGAATTCTGCGTGAGTTTTTGTTTTTCCAGGAAAGAGTTTTGTTCCTGCACGAGTGTTTTCCCGTCCTACCCTCCATACTTTGTTGACGAGTGGTCTGCAACGGCCGTGTTCGTCAGCAGTGGTGGACGCACTTTTGTCTTTTATTTTAACTTGCGAGGTAATTCATGAACTTAAATGCGTACATACTAATATAATCATTGAGTATAATCTTTATGGGCAGGAGTTCGAACTGTAGATAGCAACCTTTAGTGTTGTAGTGAATTTACAAATAATTCTAATAAGGACATTTTTCATTACCAGCAGATCGGTGCAAGAACTCTGGCTTCAATTGTTTAGTATTTCGACAATCACGACCGCCAATCAAGAGCCAGTATAATATAAATAACTTTTTTTATTCATTTGTTATTAGTTGTAAAAATAATAGACAGTTATCACAGCTGTTGTTGCACTTAGTTGTTTAGTTGCAGTTGAAATCAACGATATTGTTTGTTAAAAAAATCAAGTGTAGTACTAATAATTTAAGCCCCACCCTTTTCATGTAGTTTTTTCAGATAAATTAAAAAAAATTAGTTGGTAAAAATTTGGAGTTCAGCAGTATTTAAAATCACTTGGATAGTAAAAAATGTATAATTTCGAAATACATTTCTAATAATGAGCCGTGTGATAAAATAATAAAAATTCTAGTTACAATTATAGTAAATAAGATAATTCAATTTTAAAAAAGAATGAAACATAGCTTACATTCATATGAAAAATGACAAAATGCTGAAGTGATAATTAAGTTATTCGCAAAATATAAAATCTAATGGATCATGTGGTTACGTGAGTATTTATTGCTATTAGAATTTTTGAACATAATATTTTAAAATTTTTAAACATCAATGTATTCTAGAAACAAGTTCTCAATCTCGTGTATAATAATGGATACTTAGCTACAGAATTAGTAAACAGACGATAAAAGATTTCAATAAAAAAATAATCAGAACCTGCGACCTCTATTATTGATGTAAATGAAGAAATTCAGTTTTTGATGCACGCTCATCCATCAGAAAATAGAAACCTTGGTTTAGAACAAACAAGACTTAAATTCACTGAAAGGAGAAAAAATTATGTAAACAATAATTTCATTACAAACTTCCCAAGATTTTTAGATAATCTTTAATTCGTAAGCTTTGGCAGTTCCTTGGATTTTTAATTTTTTTTATTTATTTATTTTATTTTTATTTTTTGTATAGTATTCTTTATTGGGCCTACGGTACACAGGAGTGGTGTTCAGTCTTTCACCATTAAGCTTTAGCTTTGCATCTTGTTT